CCCCCCATCCTCTACCTCCCTCCTCCCCCCTTCCACCCCCCCCCCCCCCCCTCCCCCCCACACCCCCCACCCGTTGGACGTAAAAGGCTAAATAGTGAAGAAAATAATATGAATGGAGAACTGAAAACCATTGATGACAGTGTATTGTTTCATGGGGACAATGCTTAACACAGGGAATGCTGTTATTCGTTGTGTCATATGTCGCAGCAAAAACACAAATGAAGGCTCGTTGTAGCTAAAATGGAAAGAATTATCATTAAACCGCCCGCATGTTATTAGAAATGAGCGGGTCACTGTAACTTGACAATGCGCTTGCATTGCTTGACGACAGGCCATTATCACGCCCGTTGTTACGTGACGTCATATGACGTTCATTAGTGACGTCATTTGGTTTGTTCTATGACGTTTCCATATCTGTAAAAGTGGGTCAGTGACATTCGTTGTATGTTAATTGCAGTAAATGTTTGAAAACCGATTCTATCCATTTTAGCTACAATAACGGTAACGCTATTTTCCAGGGTATTATCAATTGCAGAAGCCCTAGGTCTTCTGCAAATGATAACGCCCTGAAAATTACCCTCACCCGTTACCCTTATATTACCATTACAGAAAGAACTTGTTGTTGTACTCATTCACTGTGCAAATGACAGTATGGAAGACGACCAATGTTAACAGTAAACAGATATTCGGGTAAAAAAAAACATTCATTGGGTTTTGTCATGGGAAGAAGCCAGAAATAATGTTTTCAGCACAATGAAAAATATTATAATACATAATTGTTGCAGTACATTGATATTGAAGATAGAGATGCTACGGGAAGATTTGGAAAGTCGGAGAAGTGTTTTGATATTGACGCTTGTTGCTTGTTTGTAGTTTGCACCTAATTAGTGTTGTTTGTCGGTCAAGTTGTTATCTGGTTATTGTTTACTCTAATAAATTGTTTTTCAACCCGATGTGTATTGTTTTTATATTGACAACACAGAGGGAGAGAGAGTGAGTGAGTGAGTGAGTGAGGTTTTACGCCGCTTTTAGCAATATTCCAGCAATATCACGGCGGGGGACACCAGAAATGGGCTTCACACATTGTACCAATGTCGGGAATCGAACCCGAGAGAGAGAGAGAGAGAGAGAGAGAGAGAGAGAGAGAGAGAGAGAGAGAGAGAGAGAGAGAGAGAGAAGATGATGATGGGATAAAATGAGCTTCAACGTTGCATTCAAGATTGTTGCACTTATATAGCGATGTGCATGGACGCTATCTGGACTAATGGCGATTTTGCAGTGCTAGTCCAGTTTTAATATGAATACCAAACTCAGACACAGTGTATACTGACTCGGAGCCGACCCCCTTGATGACGAGCGCCAGACAGGGTAAGAAGAAGAATCATTCAGTTCAGAGACATTAAGTTGAGTCTTAGACCCTTACAGCATTAATGAAATCTTAAACTTAGATACATCAGGGCGAAAATGGGATTCCAACACAGGATTCGGGAGCAATTATCACAACCGTGCTCCAAGCGTGACAATACGAGCTAGAAAGAGCAGTAGAGCTAGAGAGAACTACATCTTAAAACAAGCTCGTCATGGTCTTTACTGCATTGTTTTATTTAGTACATATAAAAAAGACAAAACTTGAACAATATTTGATCTTATGTTATTGTGAGCTTACCCTGGTTCAACATTTGCTTATCGTATTATACAATATTCATAGTATATATAATATACATAAACTAAAGTACGCAGAAAAAGTAGGGGATATTTTGTTTTGAGGTATATCTACCGGATGTCTGGCAGCGAAAATAGGTGATTTACATGTGTGGCAATAACATTTCCGAAGAAATCAATCTCCTCAAAATAACATCGTTACAGGCATGAAACATGTGACCGGACAGCATGTTTGTTTGTTTGTTTGTTTGTTTGTTTGTTGTTTAATGCCGCACTCAACAATATTCCAGCTATATGACGGCGGTCTGTAAATAATCGAGTCTGGACCAGACAAGCCAGTAATTGACATCATGAGCATCGATCCACGCTATTGGGATACGATGACATGGATCAACCAAGTCAGCGAGTCTGGCACCCGATCTCGTTAGTCGCCTCTTTCAAGCACAGTCGCCTTGTATGGCAACGGACAGCACGTGCAAGGAATGGTATGCCAGATTTACCACTGTCGCTTAGACTCGGTTGTGAGCAGACGCATATTGTTTTCTTGGAACCAAATGCTCAAAGACACTTTATTAAACACATTTAATCATTAAGAAAGTAACTGCATTGATCAGGCGACGTTTGCAACGTGCTGAACGTGTACGCGCCATTGGCATGTTGCAGGTTGGTACCCGTCAGAATACTGTTGCCCAAATGCTGCATGATTCTCAATCTGTTATCAGCAGATTGTTGGCCCGATACCAACAAACACATTATGATCGACACCGCTCTGGACGCCCAAAGGCAACAACTCCAGTCCAGGGCCCACTTGCACAAAGCAATCTTAGCGCTAAGATGATCGTAACGCCCATACTTTAACATAGACTTACAATTGTCTTAGCGCTAAGATCGCTTTGTGCAAGTGGGCCCAGGACAGGTTAGTCTGAACGATGGCAATTAGAAATCGGGTACAAACTGCCACTCAGGTAGGGCACCGGTTGCAACAGGCAACGGGTGCAAGAGTACATGCTCAGACGGTGCGAAATCGTCACCACAGATGGCATTGCGTGCACGACGTACACGTGTCATCCCACAGCTAACTGCGTGTGGGGGGCTCGGGTGGCCCAGTCGTCTAAGGTGCCGCGATTCGCTGTGCAGAGTTGCGTCCCTTGGGCACGCCAGACACCTATGATTGTGGGTTTGAATCCCGGTTCGCCCCGATTATGTTTCTAGGTTTGTCAGCACCATACCCGTGCTCGTGGGTTTCACCGAAGTGATAAACGTCTGAGACCTGCATCACTTCGGGCTTTCCTCCCACATCAAGCTGACACGCTGCGATATAAAAGCGGCGTTAAACCCAACTCACTCACTGACTACTGAGTGTCATTTCAACCAGAGGCGTCAGTGGTGGTGTAGAAAACGGGACAATCAACGTAGGGCAGATGTCGAATTCTGGGGTGAGTGAGTTAAAGTTTAACGTCACATCGGCAATATTTCAGCCATATAGTGGCGAGATCAATTTATACAAGCAATAATAAATACATTTTGACCATATAAAAACCTGTCGACAAAGGACAGTAAAACAAACTAGACTATCACAGATATGAATATATAACAAGCATGGAACTATAAAAAGATGTAACAATACACAAGATATGATAAAAACTAGCTATTGTGCGAATTTTTAGCCAAAATTAAAAAGAGAGATATACTACGATTAAAAGACTAGGAGATATAAATATTCATTGAATGAAAAGGGACTTACAATATCCTCTCAGGGGGACTATAATTTTACACTACTTTAACCCCCGTCGAGGATACAGCCAATCTCAGATATACAATTCTGACGAATCGAGCTTCACTCTCCACTTCCAGGAATCAAAGTTTGGTTGCGTCCTAATAAGCGTTTTTTGAACGTTAGCGTTGTACAACTGGTACTGGTATGAGGTGGTTTCACAAAAACTGATCTAAATGCGCTACATATTGTCCATGGCAGATTCACAGGTCAATTCACAGGTGGTGCCATTTGCACAACGTATTGGGCAACGTTTCATCTTTCAAGATGAGGCACGGGCTCGTCGTGCTAGGGTTGTGACCCAGTTCCCCAAAAGCAATACCTCCATCACATGCCGTGGCCATCACTCAATCCTGACCTTTCATTCATTGACCACGCCCGGGACGTCATTGGCAGACATGTACGTCAACGTCAAAATCCACCCACTATTATCAATGAACTCGGTGCTGCTCTCACTGATGAGTGGAACAACACTCAGTAGAGCTGACATTGGTCAACTCATCAGAAGTGAATGAGTTAAAATTTAACCTCGCATCGGCTTTATTTCAGCCATAAAGCGACGAGATCAAGTTGATATATTCGCAACTGAGTCATGAATATAAGGAATGTTTAACAAGACATTTTTGTAGACAAATTTTGGCATAGCAATATCATTTATACTGTTTAACGACTTACCAGAAGCATGCCTCGAAGAATACGTACATGTCTGGCCATTTCGAATTGGACCCCGACATCTTTACCGGCCTAGAGCGCCATCATCGCATCACACCAACCACTATAACCCATTATTTGTTTGACTGTTGTTTAACGCCGCAATATTCCAGCTATACGACGGCGGTCTGTAAATAATCAAGCCTGGACCACACAATCCGGTGATTGACATCATGAGCATCGATCCACGCAATTGGGATCGATGACATTAATCAACCAAGTCAGCGAGCCTGACCACCCGATCTCATTAGTCGCCTCTTACGACAAGCATGGTCGCCTTTTACGGCAAGTATGGGTTGCTGAAGACCTATTCTACCCCGGATCTTCACGGGTCTCATAACCCATTAGATCAGATCGCCTACTCCAAAGCAGACATGATCATATAACAATATCCATTTGCCAATAGCATATAGACTGACGGCCCAAAGAAGCTTCCACTTTCAAAATAAAATTGCAAAATATTAAACACACAAGTTCAAACCAAATTAATCTAAAACACATGGTCCAGACAAAACAATGCTTTCTGCAGAAAGTGACACAAGTTCACGGCGCGGTTTTGCTTGTTTGTTTTTTGTATTTTTTTAAAAAAGGGGGACAAAGTGTAACACAACAACTCTTGGGCAGCCCCAACTTCACTTGCAATAGGTGTACAGTAAACTACGGTTATAACGAACTCAAATGGATCACTAATTTTAGTTCGTTATAACCGCAGCTGGTTATATGCATATATACAACGTTTATACAGCAATTGGCCGGGACCAAAAATTAAGTTCGTAATATCCGTCAGTTCGTTATAAGCGTGTTCGTTATAAACGTAGTTTACTGTATATAGATACGGAGGGCCAGCTAGTGG